TGTAGCAAGAGTCCATTACAAAGATAACTACCACTGAAAAACACAATTCTAGCTCAGGCTCGAATTTCAAACAACCAAAGCATTAAGAGGAAATTTTTTTCTTCCAGGACCCAATCCAGTTCAGAGATTCTTTACTTTAATATCACTTTCATGGGTCCACATGTGTATGTACATTTGCAGCTGTTTTGTTTAGGTTTTTCTGAAGATAAAATATACCCATAAGATACTGTTGCCAGGGTGCACTTCATACAGTAAATTCCACTGATAATTACCAACTCATAGTATTTTTACTTTTTGCTCCAGATTTGTTAAGCTCTGCAACTCATTGAATTCACTTATTGAATTTCTAGGGGCAGTTCATGAATTGTACTGAAGCTGACTCAATGAAATATTAATGAACCAATTTCCATAGACATGGATTCATTATCTCACTGGATGGCATCAGAAAACACAGTACTGCAGACAGTATCCTTCCACCTACCTGCCAGAGGATTTAATTTTATTATGCAGTTTTTAAAGCCCACAATCAGACTTTTGGTAAGTTTACATCAGGAGCTTTCCAGTCTCTTGCTCCAAGACAAAATTAAGAGGGAAACATTGTAATATTATTTAGTTGAACCTCAGTAATCCATCAAATGTGATCTCCTATTAACCAGCAAAGCAAGATTTTCAGTGATTTGTTCTGGATCATAGGAAGCAAAGATTTTTCAAACACAATAAATTCTTTCAAAATATGAAAGCCTTTATTTTCCTTCTTCAATAAGAGCTATAAGGGGGATAATGGCAAAATATTTTAGTAATTGGTTTCTGGGATTAGAAAATTTTCATTAATGAATCCAGGATTTAATGCTTGGATTTAAGATTTCTACACTTCTGCACTTCTGCAGTACATAAATGCATCTTGTAATTATTTCAGCCATATATATTTTTAAGACATCCCATGGTTAGCCTGGGGTGGCTTCTATAATTACTCATCTGTTCTTTAATAATCACACATCTACCAAATGAACTGCTTGCACCTGATTCTTCTCTCACATACTTCAAGTTTGTAATTAATTCATTGCACTGACTTCCTCTAGGTTAAGCATGGAGGAAAGACAAATGGCTCATCTCCTTTGGTATCCTGGATTTGGTGGACTAGTGCATGAGATTCTACCAGGCTCATAAATCAGAAACCATGATGTCAGGATAAGCAGTTTTCTTTAAGTTTGTGTTAAAGAAACTGTGTTAAACTGTGAACTTCTATCTAAATTCCCTGCACAATCATGTTTTTAGGGTATTCTTTGGCATAACCAATTGCAAGACAGAAGATGAAATTCCAGAATCTTTCCTCACTTACCTAAGTTAAGACAGTTAATAAGAGAGGTCTTCCTCGTTCCTCTATTTGTGTTCATCAGATACCTAAAAGAAGTATTCTCTTTCCCTAACAATGGGAAATAGAAGGCTTTTGGTGTGAAAATTAGCAGCTGCTAATTGTATTTATCTCTTAGACTAAGAGGTTTATTATTTATCTTCCCTGTTGCAGTGCCCATGTGGCAGCACTGATATTGAGCAGCTGGACAGATTGCACCCTGGAGCCACATCTGCAGCTATATAGATCAACACCACTTTCATTGCCTCAGTGCTGGAGAAGTTTATCTTCTGTCAGCTAGATTTACTACCTACTTCATGAATTTTTAAGGGTTTTCCCCTCCCCTCCTCCAATCTGATTTTTAAAGCATGTTACTATAATCTGGTACTGATTGTTAACATCTGATTAGTTAAGTATTTGCTTACTTTCCCCCCCCCCCCCTAATTAAGAGGGATTTCCAGTTGGGTTTGCAAATATAAATCTTGAATGGACAAGAGAACAAACAGTGACTGCTCAGTGAAACTGGGAAATGTCTGTAAAGGACTGCAAAATACAAAACAGTATGAATTATCCAAACACATGAGTGCAACATGGATCATAGCTGTTTTTGTCATTTCTAAGTATTTGAACTGACTACTTGGTAATTACTTACACTAGGCTTTTTTCCCTGAGAAAGCCGAGTCCTAAATTATCTGCTTTCTATAAAGAATAACAAAAAATACTTTCTGATGCCAATAGCAACCATATCCTAGTGATAATCTATATGTTTTTCTAATAATTTATTAAAGGAAATACAGCTTTATATACACCCAGGCACCTACAGAGTATTATCAAATTTTTATCCAGATAACTGTCATAGTAGCAAGGCAGAACCCAACAAACTATTTAAATTAGTTCATGGGGCTAGTAAAGGCTGAAAGATCCTAAGTTTTCTTCTCCTCCAAGTATTTTAGAACCTTTTAACTCGGACCAGCTATATTCAGTAGGCAGAACATTGAACCAAATTAGCATAGTACATACACGCTCAACTTGTCTTTGGAACATGGCTTTCTCTGTTTTTCTCATTAGCATCAATGTCTGCAACTGTATCACAGCAGAAGTATTCTGCAATTATATCACAGCAGAAATTCTCTGGGTTTTTTTTTTTCATTTCACTTCTTATAAGATGAAAAAAACATTATATGGCTTTCCTACCTAGGAAGACTATAAAATAATGCGTTAGAATTTCAAGAATTCTCAAGTAATTTGAGTTCAACTGAAGAGGTAAAAGCGGTGCTTTTGCATATGCCAGTTGAGATCAGTTTTCACGTCTATTTACAGACTAGAAGTGTTTTGTGTAATTCCTGTGTTTTTTTATGTAAATCTCCAACATCATCTGCTGTCAAGTGGCATCTCATCAATTTTTGATTACATTTGTATCAAGTTAACATCACATGTATTGGATTCCTCCAGCCTGCTTCTCCAGCTATTAGCTTTGTGAACTTAAAACTAGAAGTCAGAAGTTCCATGTCCCACCATTTAAGGCAGCTACATAATGCCAGAGTTCATCATTAGCACGATCTCTGGATTTCTATGAGATCAGAACTCCACTGCAACATGACGTGTTAGTCCAAAGGAGAACTCATAGCAAAACTTGACTATCTGTGCATAGTACAGAAGAGTGCTGCAATGGAGTCAAAAATCAGAAGCAGTTTTAAAAGGAATGGAAAGAACCAGAGTATAATTTGATGTGTAGTGAATGTAGCCAAAACTTTTTTGCACTTGGTATAGGCTTATATGAAAAGCTCTGGGCAGAATTCCTTTAGGAATAGTGTTTCCAAAACAGACCTCAGAAGGAAGATGGATAGAAGAAAGAAGTCAAGCAATCTTCATGCTTAAATGACGAACTAACCAATAATGTGGAAGGTTCTTTCTTTCCTTCTAAAGTAAGTTCTAAATATTCAAATAACTCAGTTTTGACAGCTCTTTGAAAAAAATATTCATATTCCAAATGACCATTTGCAGTAGATTAAGACTTGGTGGTTTGTTCTTCATGTTTGTAACTGCAGTTTTCACTGCATCTCTTTATCAAAGCTCACAACTGACTCACTAAAACAAAATTCAAAAAAATACTTTATGACAACAAAATAGACATAGTCCTTGTTTAAACTTTTTTGTTTTCAATGATGTCTTATTTTTCCTCATGGTTTGTTAAGATTTCATTCTGGCTATCTGGAATATATATTTCCAATGTTTAAATTAAGCACCGTAAAATCCCAAATTAAAGTAGTGTTGTGTTTTCATACTATAACATCCAGTTAAGTCTAGCCTTATGCATAAACATATAGCATGAATTAAACAACTTTAGATTTATTCATCTATATAAATATAGTGCAGGGAATATTTATAATGAAGTGGATATCAGGGTACTTAGACACCTTAGTAAGAGGTTAACACTTCAAGTATCCCATCAATCTTTATGAATTACTGTTGTGTTCTGTGTAAAATGACAGATTTTAATTCATATGATATTCAGGAATATGTCAAAGGTATACCCAAAGAGATATCCATGTAAGGAGAAAACCTTAACTCTGACCTATTCTCACTCCTGTGAAGGATGCCGGTTTTAATGCTGTGGGTGTACAGGTATGTTTTTGTTACATTTCACACTGCACAAAAGGACTGGGCAACAAAGGCTGTTGAGACAGTTGCCTTTTAACAATCTTTAGTTAGATTCATCAACCCTTCTGTTTGGTAGATTGTGGCCATATGGATCTGTACACATGATTTCCTGTTCAGCCTTCATATATCACGTACATTGTAGGCTGACATGAGAGATCTAAGCCATGTGCAGGATTCCATATTACTTACTGAGATTTGTACCACCTGGTCTGGTCTACAAGAGCTACAGTGAAAAAAATCTACAACTGTTTAGGGCAACAGTACACTAAGACTGTCTTTGCACAATAAATGTTGCTATTCTGAGAAACATAGAAGCTACCTTTGATCAGATATTCTCCAGCATCTTGTACTCATGTCTAGATATGTTTCTTCCCTGATTATGAGAAGTGGTATATGTGAACTTGCAATCTTCTCTAAATATGCCAGAGACGATGAACATGCAAACACTTTTTTGCTGTGTGTGCACATCTACAGTAGTACATTAACAATATCTACAGTGGCATATATTTTTGTTAGAATTAGGAATTATATTTTGAATTGAGGGCGGAAGTAAAGAAAAGGAAAGCAACAACACTGATGTTATTGTGATGTGGTAGCAAAGTTCCTCTAAAGAAAATATTCACATGGGTAGGCCCAAACAACCACTATAGTACTTGTAGGTCATTATTGCAGCACAAACAAACTGAGGAGTATTAAAAAAGTGGGCCTGTTTAGTTTGCCTCATAGAGTATGAATCATAATTTGAATGTTTCTGGGAAAAGAAAGATAAATTCTTGAGGCATTTTTCTCATACATCTTTTCATTAGCGTTATCAAATACAAACATGATCAAATTAATGAGTTTTAAAAAAATTCTTCATAACTCTTCATATAAATGCATAAAAATGCATTTATATTTTTTAGATTAATTCTGCAAATACTCTCCTGGAAGCACAAACTCAGTTCTGGAAATGTTTACAAATGTTTAATGTTTAACTCACAGGCTGGTAAGTATGTATCAGCTAGAGACTTCTGACATGATGGCTTTTCGGGTAGGTTTTGTTGTGTTTTCAGGAGGAGTTGTTTGGTTGGTTCTTTGTTTGTTTGGGTGTTTTTGTTTTGGTTTTGTGGGGCTTTTTTTTGTGGTTGGTTTGTTTGCGTGGAGGGTTTTTGTTTCTTTTCTTTGTTTGTTTTTTAATTATTGCTTAGTCATAAGGCAACGTAAATACACCGTGTTGGTTCCAGACCTGAGTAAGTGTGTGTTCCTCACCAACCTGGATCACTCAGAGTTTTGTTAGCTCAGAGATTTCTGCTGTGATACTGTTTGAGTGCTGCAATCATGCTCTTAGAGTGAGCAGCAAGCACTCTGAGTCTGAAGTTGCATTCAAAATCTACAGGCCAGAGAGTTTTAGGTGCTTTGAAAAATTAGACTATTATATTCTATTTTGTAAGTTAAGATTGATGCACATATGAATGCATCACTAATGCACCATGAACAAGAAGCAAAGAGTATGTTATGATTAGTCATTATCATGGAGAGAGAGGAACTATTTGGATACAAGTTTTAAACTTTGGGCAGTTTGGAGACCACCATGCCCTATATATATATTTCCATAGTGTACAAAATTAATCACAACTCTAATCTCATTGGAATTAGCTATCCAGGTGTCCACAATCACATCCTGAATGTTCTATTTTTTCTATGAGGAATGACATAAGAATACTTCATATTTGAGGATAACAATCAAACATTCTCTAGCTTAATGCCTAGGTACATGGTTTAAATGGATACATTCCTATGACACTATAACAGATGTCCTTTCTCATATTGCTATATAATTGTTATTGTAAACCATATTTAATAATGATGTAATAGTAATAATACTACAATGGTTCACTGACAATAGCATCCTTAGCACAGTAAACATTTTACTGTCTACTAGCAGAGGAACATAAACCTCCAGAAACATAGAATAAGAACTTTTCAGTAGAGCAGATCACTGACTTCCTTATTATTTCCCAACAGCAAAAAGAAATATTAAGTAAAATTTACTTTGGTTTAGGAAAGCAAACTGTCGTTTGACTTTGTAGGATAAGATTATGCCAAGAAGTTAATCTGTGAGTCACTATGCTGGGAAGTACTTTTGTTGAGCTTACTCCTTGTAAAATCTATCCCACAGTAAAACCTTTTTTTTTCTAGAGAATTATCTGTCCTCCAAACATGTTAACTAGTCAAAAAAAATATATCAGAAGAGATCAGATCCAGTCTGCACATAGAATGTTAGGTACACACACACCTGTAGTATTGTGTTGGTTTACAATTTATGCCGAAACTTTTCCTTTTTTTTTTTTATTTCCCTTTAAAATTACAAGCATCCACAGTACTTAAAATACTTACTACAGTGAAAAAAGTTCCCTTCAACTCTAATTAAAACTGTCTCAATGTTTACCTGACACTTACACTATGCTGATAAGGGAATATGTTACAGAAGTGATAATTCATTCAACAGAAGCAGAAGATTTAAATTGGAGAAACTGGGTTAAAATTTTCAAGCACCACATACCCCTGAAACAAATCCCTAAATTGTGGATGTAGTGTCAAAAGCTAGTTAGATACCTGTACCACAGCAGAGAGAGAAGGATAGCGTAAATAATGCACAATGGAGAACACCTCTGGAAGACCTGCTAAATTAGGATCATGTGGCTTGGCATTCTTGGTATGCAAAGTAGAAAGTCATCTGTCATGGTTTTCAAACCACCACATCAGCCAAGGTCCAGAGCCAACTGAGAAGCAAACATGCATTCTGAAGAGTGTTACAAGTGAGTTTTGGAAAGCTGAACACATAGAGAGGGAAGTTTATTTATAGCTAAAATAACCATAACAGATGCCTATAAAAGAGCTGCCATCACTACTAGAATACAGCCTGCCTAGCAGGGAAAAACATTTAAGTGACATTCCCCACAGGGTTAAGTAATTTAATAGCTTATCTGAAGATGGAACATAATAAGATCTATGTCTGAGAAAGCTCTAGCTATTACCAACCATACTGACACTGTGCCATGGATAAATCTCTCTCCTCAATGCACAGGTCTAAGAAGACACTTCTCACCCAGCCCATGTCTAACTGGTTTGGGAGGTTAACCATTGCCCCAGACAAAAGCATGGCTAGAACAGCACGCTTCATGAACCTTCACGTAACTACCACAGCTTCTTTCCCTTCATTTCTCTGCACAAACCTGAGGCCATTAAACAACAGCTTGTAAAAATACCAAGCTATTTATAGACATCAGTACTTACTCATTATGAATCTGGTAAATTATACTGAAAAATGAAGGGGTTTAGCTTGTATGAAAAGTAAATGAAACCTGAAAAAAACCCCAAGAGTTTGGCTGGACCAACTTCTTTAGACTTGAACTCCAGGAGTTTCAAAGTATCTAGGAAAGAAAGTAACCATTACAACAGTAAGAAGAACTATGGAGTTTTCAGAGGACTACCATGTACTCATATTAGTCTTGCAAAAAGACAGTAAAGGATGAAACAAGTCCATTTCATTGGAGATCTGCTATAATTCACGTGTTAATAAAAATTGTACAACTTCTGCCTGTAGTACCTGAAAAGGATGAGGAATCCATGCAGCTCTTTTTTGTATGCACTGCATAAGACAACTGAAGAGAAGAAACAGCCAAAACATGTATTATGAATATCTTTAAATGTATGAATGAAAAGTTTGTGCTGGGCAGCACTTAATATCCATTATTGATTATGCATAATTGTTCAGGAGTAATATGTAGTACATTAAAGGAAGAAATTGAAAATTATATTTTGAAACCATGAATTCAAATAAGACCTGCCAACCCATTACAAACATTTTGAACAAAAAAAAAAAAAATAAAGGAAAAAAGGAAAGAAAAAAGAATCGAAAAGAAAAAAGACCTGGGAAATAAATTGAAAGGGAAGGAAATTACTACATGTTACTATAACTGGTACAGATTATATCAAAGGATTATTAGAATTTGGAGGAAAACATTATTATTTTCTAAATTGAATTGGATTATTTATTACAGTTCTAAAAAATATTGAACATAAGGAAGATCCCAAGCAAATATTAGATTAGACTGGGAAATAATATAAATGAAAGTAGTGGCTCTGAGATAAATCTCTATACAAACATTACAAATATTAAATTCTCTTTCACATAGCTCTGATCTGATAAGAATAGCTTTATGTTTTCTAAATGCCTAGTCCTCTAGTTTGAGTCACTACCTATGTAGAAAAACTATTAGCCACATTTGGATTGAAGGAAATACCAACTTCAGCAGAGGGACTATAATAGAGGAATAATTTTCAGTCCTAATCAGGTCCCATATCACACTTCATTCATAGTTCACAGGCCTTCTGTGCGACTAGATTCTTTATATTCCATAGATGAGAAAATGGTATACAATGGTATCTTCTTCCTAACATTATTCATTTTCCCGGTGTAGACATTACCTTTCCAAAGCTGGAAAACTGAAAACATTGAAATGCTGACTTCGGAAGAAACTTATAATGAATGTTAGAACTGCACACTCACATTGATCAGTAAACATATGTCTGCAGAATGAAAGATCATAGTCATCTGTGAACGTAATTTTCAAAGACAGAAAATGTAGTTTACATCCAGCTTCCAGCTTTTGTTACTAGTATTTGGCTCAAGAGCGCTCCAAGCTGACCCTTCTTATGCTTGCTGGACACTTTTGCCGTAAATATAAGGAATCAGGGAATTTGAAATCTGAATAAATACTGTGGATTGTTTGTAATAATTATTAGGCAAATCTTTTCTTTTTCCATATTTTGTGTCACATTTCAACTCTTTATCCAAGTAACATGTAAGCATTTGGATTTTGTAAATATTTCCATATTCATCTGATGAGTATGTAGATGTGATTTTTGCTATCATTCTTACACCACGGAAGTGTTTTGCTATTCTTCAGAGGCCTTTAAATTAACACTTTGGCTAAAATTATCATAACCAGAAGCAGCATCTTCATGAGATGACACCATATGCCAGTTTAAAGTAAAGAGTCCGTGCTACATCTGGCTACAGTTTCGGACACCAGGCCAAGAGTATGAACTGATGCCACAAGCAAAGAAACAAAACCAGAATTATACAAAATAAAACCAGAGAAGGTTGTGTTCACTATTTTCTCTTGTTTACAAAATCTACCCCCATCCCGCTTTATCATGAAGATAAGAGAGAACTGAACACTAGGAAGCAAGAGAGGGAATTTAGTTTCGATCACAGCCAAACTACTTTATGCGAATCTTGATATTATAGTAAGTCAAGAGCTTCAGGATTTGAGGGTTGTAGTATTATGGAGGGGAGTTGTGGGGTTTTTTTTTAGTTGTTGTTGTTTTACAGTGAGTCTTTAAATCTCCCATTGGAATTATTCCCAGGGTTTTTGACAGAGAAGAAACCCAAAACAATGTTGGACATGCATTGATTTTGGTTATTTTTTTAAGTGCATTCTTCTCCAGGTAAAATGCTTCCTAACAAGGCAATTATGAAACCAAATCTCTTTAACTCATAATATTTGTATTAAACTTCAATTCTATGCAGATCAAGCTAACTCCTTTCTCCCCAGGAAGAACCACTGAACTGTAGGGACAGGGCAGGCTAGCTTCCTCAGCCACAATCTTCAAGACCTGTGCTCAAGAAGGGCAGCTCTAGGTAATCCATGATCCCTGAGACTTTAGGGTGAAGAAGCAGGCACGGCATCACTGCACAAGCCCTTCAGACACTGCTGTTAATTACGAAGAGGCCCTCGCAGGTGTGCTCCATCGGCACACTGACAGCCCACTCTGCTTCGCAACCTGTCTCTGTCCTCACCAGCACTGTCAGAATTGAGCACTTCATTAACATCTGTGAATTAATCTCTTTTCCGAGCTAAAAAAAACAACCTTCCCCACTGTGCAGACAAGACTGCCACTAATCAGAGCATAAACAAGCATTAATTTCATACATACAACCAGTCTTCTAGGTAATGCAGACTCTAAATTTCTGAAGAAAAA